GAGAGCTTTAAAAATAGGATTGTGGTGATTTTATTCCTTAAATAGGAGTAATTATTGTAAAGTTTGGAAAATACTGACATGTTTAAAGTCTGGTGATGTCAAGCATGTTAGTAATTACTCATATTCGAGAATAAAAACATGGCAATCATATTTTATAATACAAAAATGTTTTTATTCCTATTTTAGGGCAATTTCTCATGGGGATGTGGCCCTAAGGGGATGTGGCAGTGGCGGAGGGCCTAGGCCCAATAAAAGTGTAAACAATTTACTGACTTAGGCTCGATCATGAGGTTTTGTATTAAGAGTGAATGGATTGAGTTTTTGGGATATATCCACTAATTTTATGCGGCCCAAAAAAAGAGTTATGAATGTGTAAGCAATTTTAAATAAAAGACGGAACTCTTTGTATAGGCCTTCACTCCTTCAAAGTTCAAACCTCAATGTTTCAATCGTTCATTATAAACTGCTACTAGTCAATAGTCAATAGACCATAGATAGTGAATACATAAATTCTTCTTCGTGCCTTTTGTTCTTCCTAACCCGAACATAAGAATCTAACTTCAAATTACCTCGAGTCCTCTACATCTCTTATTACTCTTATGTACTTTATATTTTGCATTTAGGGTCTTACATATTTCATGATAAGTTATCATAACTTTTCACCCTTTTTAGTTTTCATTGAATTTACATTTTCGTTGATTAGTCATCTAATTGTTGACTTTTTTTTTTGAAAATCAAATAACCATTTTTATTGATAATCAGTTCTTAACAAGAAACATAACAAATAAAAGCCGAAGCATAACAATCATAGCGTTCGATACTACACTAGGGTGAAACAAAGAACAAAAACGTCATATAAAAGCATTCATGTTCGCTAACCCTGCAAGAATGTAGACTCGTACCGCATTGTGTCTGCTCATGCTACTTGAAATGGGTTCGGTTTGACTAGCCACCGAAAAGGAATTATTGAACTTGCCGTTTTTTCCAGCCACCGGTAAGGAGCCAAGTGCAGAAATTGTTCCGGTTTGACCATCCACCGAAAAGAAAGCAATTCATCCAATGCCATCTTCCTGGATCGGCGGTGGTTCAGGAGGGGGGCGATCAGCCTCTATATCGATGCAGAAGAAATCCTGATTCATGATTGATAAAGAAGCCAATACAAACCTCTTACTAGCACACAAGAACACCCGACCAATGATGGCGGAGAATATAGATCTGGCGAGCGACACTTCGCCACCGAAAATAATATATCTAGACAACGCTAGGAAATAAACGTATAGATAGAACTGAAAATACTAATTAAACGAATCTAATTGTTGACTTATTGGTCATGAAACCGCGAATTCAGATTTATACTTCTTCCGTCCTAAATTGAGTTGCAATTTGTGAATTTTAAGGTTGACTAATTCAGATTTATTGATTGAATTTTAAAATTAAATCATATCGTGATACTTTAAAATTTCTTCAGTAAATAAATTTGAATTTTCAATAAATTTATAAGTATAATTAATTTAAAGTTGTAAAATAAATGTTCTCTTACCGTGATGTTACTTATTTAATACGGAAAATTATAAAAACATTTTCTTTATTATTACAATTTTTGAAGGATTATTGTCATGCCTTAGATGAGATAAAAATGTTTTTTCTAAAATTAGGTTCATTATAAATTATCTGCCCCTAGATCTTGAGACTATCAGGGCCGCCCGCGATGATCATTCATGAGTCTGGACTGGGTGCTAGTCGAGATTTGAACTCGAGGTTAATTTAGATCAAGTTGTACACGCTTGATAAGAGAACAATGAAACTTGAGGCGAGTTTCAGCCGAGTCGGACAATATATACTGTCTTTGAGTAATTGAGTTTATGTTCAAGTCGAGCTTGAGTTTTACATACTCTAAAGAATTGTGTGTTTTAAAACAAGCAATTTGATCTGTTATCACGTTTAAACGCATAGGTGCAACCATCAATGCTTTTTAAAACATGAAATCAATACTTCAAAATTCTCTACATAGTTGTCGCTTAAATATCAGGGCTGTGTTGAAATGTTTACCGCCTATGATTTATTTAAACTTGAGATGAATCAAGTGTGATTAATCTCGCCTAGGTAGGAGAAGCTCACATGGAAAATCTTTTTGTATAAAGTTTGAAAAGATGAAATTATATAGAGTAGAGTGCTCCATCATGGAACGTTGAAGCAGGGTAACACTTTTAGAACAAAATGTAGATCTCTAATAATTTTCAATAGAAAATATCTATTGTTTTGATGTATTAGGCTACCGCAATCCCAAAGTTGAAAAGCCTAATTTGAGGTTTTGACTCTCAAATTTGCAACAACCCATGTATTTTTGGGTGCCAAAGTGGCTACATAGCACCCATTGGGGTGAATTTTGATGGGCTTATTCAACGTGAAGAAATGAAGCCGCAACATGCATGCCCTCGTGTGCCATGTTATTTTAGAAGTGTGGGTCCTGCAACATTAAAAATCCCAATTTTTTTGGGTGTATTTTTACCTTTTAATTTTTATTCCAAATTTTATAAAAAAAATATATTAAAATTCATATTTTTTATAACCTTTCATATGACTTCAATATAGCATACATAAAAATTATACAAAAAAATTGAAATTTCATCTGTTGAAGATTTTTATGTTTAGAATCTTTATCAAGTACATCAAAGTGCTAAAATAAAGATCTTATGGTTAAAATACTTTTTTTCATCTTTAAGATAGTTTTTTTCAAAATTTTGGTCTAAATTAACGAAAATAAGATTAAATTCCAAATTAATTTATTTTTACATCGCAATGTTTGACTTTTAAAATCATAATCATTCACAAAAAAAAAATATTTGGCAAAAAAATGATGTATAATAATGAAATGAAGCCTTTACGTAAGAAAATCTTTGATGGGTGAATATATTGACGATGCTGGGTTGCAGTAAAAATTGAATTGACACGGTGAATACGTATAAAGTGGTGAGAAATTTGATTTATTGACGGAGCTGGATTGCGGTTAGCCTTATGGATCCATACTATTGATATATAATGTAGTACTTCAAATAACTATTTTAATAGTTATTTGGAGTATTATTCCTCCACAAAGCGACAAGAAATAATACTACTAATAATAATAATAATAATAATAATAATAATTATTATTATTAGGAGACTATATATATATATACACAAACACGATAGTATATACAAGGAGTCAAGAACGAGTTTCCTCATCCAATTGATACTCCGCTATGTAGCACGGAAACTCTCGGGAAAGAGTACGTTTCCCGTTTCGAAAACTCCCGGAAACTCTTCGGAAACTCTCCATATAAACGTTTTTTGAGCAAAAGTTGATGTTTCCCGTTTTCTGTTTTCTCATCATTTTCGCGTTCCCGTGAAATGTAGATACTCCTTATTTTTTTGGGAACAACGAGACTATCTATATACGAAGTACGATAGTACGAAGTACTACCTCCGTCCCCCTAAGTTTGGGACAAAGGGGTGTGGTGTGATTTTTAAGAAAACGAAGAATTGTGTGGTTGATATTGATTTGATAAAGTGTGAATAAAGTAAGAATGAATTCTAACCACTCAAATATAATCAAATATGGTATGAGACAAATTTAATAGGACGGAAGAAAAAGGTAAAATGGGACAAACTTAGGGATGGAGGCAGCATATCGTAATGTTCTTGTTCGGCCCGTTAGAATAAAAACGAAGCAGTACTCCTCAATCTCCTTGCGACGTGAAGCGTGCTACTGCGAGAAAATAGTCGTAGCACTCGTGAAGGGGGAGAAGCGGCGTTAAGGTTTTCGTTCCATCCCATCGGCTAGGGTTTCGTATTTCTATCGGCAATTCACGCCGTCTCAGCTAAGCTTTCGTATATCTATCGGCAACCATGGCTACTGCATCTGTGGCATTCAAATCCAGGGAGGACCATAGGAAAACAGTTAGAATTGGAAGAGGCGCGAAAGGCTGGGCTTGCTCCCGCCGAGGTTGATGAAGATGGAAACGAAATTAACCCTCACATTCCACAGTACATGTCCTCAGCACCTTGGTATCTCAATGCCGAGAAACCTAGCTTGAAGCATCAAAGGAAGTGGAAATCTGATCCGAATTATACCAAATCATGGTATGACAGAGGTTCCAAGATATACCAGGCCGACAAGTACAGAAAAGGCGCATGTGAAAATTGTGGAGCAGCTACGCACACTGTTAAATCGTGTATGGAAAGGCCTCGTAAGTTAGGAGCAAAGTGGACGGGGAAAAGCATTGCACCGGATGAGAAAATAGAGAACTTTGAGCTAGACTATGATGGCAAAAGGGACCGCTGGAATGGGTTTGATGCTGCATCCTTTGTCCATGTTATTGAAAGGTATGAAGCCAGGGATGAAGCTAAAAGGAGATATATGAAGGAACAACAGCTTAAAAAATTGGAGGAGAAAAACAACAATGAAAACAAAGAAGGTGGTGATGCTAGTGATGATGAGAATTTGGAAGATGCTTTGAAGGTTGATGAAACAAAGGTTGATGAAAGTAAGCAGATGGATTTCGCAAAGGTTGAGAAGCGTGTGCGAACTACAGGTGGCGGTAGTACTGGGACTGTTAGAAATCTACGTGTCCGAGAAGACACGGCCAAATATCTTCTTAACCTTGATGTCAATTCGGCTCACTATGACCCCAAAACCCGATCCATGCGTGAAGATCCACTTCCTGATATGGATCCAAATGAGAAGTTTTATGCTGGGGACAACCAAAACAGACTGAGTGGTCAAGCTCTAGAGTTCAAGCAGCTCAATATCCATGCTTGGGAATCATTTGAGAAGGGTCATGACATCCACATGCAAGCAGCTCCATCACAAGCAGAAACTTTATAAAAATTATAAGATCAATAAAGAGAAAATGGAGTTCCAAACCAAGGATACCATCATGGAGAAATATGGCAATGCAGCTAGTGAGGAAACGCTCCCTAGAGAACTTTTATTGGGTCAGGGTGAGAAGGAAGTTGAATATGACCGGGCTGGCAGGATCGTTAAAGGACAGGAGATGTCACTTCCACGGAGCAAATATGAAGAGGATGTTTACATAAATAATCACACTAGTGTCTGGGGTTCCTGGTGGAAGGACCATCAATGGGGTTATAAGTGCTGCAAACAGACAATTCGAAACAGTTACTGTACAGGAACTGTTGGAATTGAAGCAGCTGAAGCTGCTGCTGATTTAATGAAGGCCAATATAGCCCGCAAAGAAGCTGCCGAAGATACCCAAACACCAACTGAACAAAAGAAGGTTGCTACGTGGGGTACTGAAGTGCCAGATGATCTGGTTCTTGATGACAAAAAATGGCAGAAGCTCTTAAAAAGGAGGAAGAAAGGAAAAGAGACGTTATTAAGGATGAAAGGAAAAGGAAATATAACGTGAAGTATAATGATGAGGTCACACCTGAAGAAATGGAGGCATACATGATGAAGAGGATCCATCATGATGATCCTATGAAGGCATTTCTTCACTGAGATTTGTGTTTGAAGTTAACTTTTTTCTAACTTTTTCTTCAACACCTTAGTACGTCCAGGTTCTGCCTAATTCCTATTTTGTAACTTTTTTATGGTGGTGTCATTTAAGGTCTTGTATTTGAGACTTTTGAGAAGTTATCAAGTATACAAAATCGATTAGCATGTAAGTTCTGCCATAGCTACTGCTTGCAAAGATGATGACATTATTTTTTGTATATTTAATAAAAGAATGACGGCAGCTGCTATTGTTCCTGCAAAAGTGCTAAGTATGTTGATGAGTATGATGACTAAGTTACTTTTCTCTAATACGTAGTACTAATATTTCGGACTTTTGCTACCAAGAATTGACGGTATAGACCTGCAAAACTAATTACAATAAAAGTCATACCTTTTTTACTTTTAATTTCTTATGCTCTATGCTCGTTAGCTGATTGTGTTTTATTCCCCCCCTGTTTCAACTTTATCTAGAATTGATTTTTTTATTTCAATTTTTTTGATAGAATTGATTGTTTCTTCTATTTTGGGAATGAATTTAATAACTTAGTTGAGGGGCAGTTTCTCCTTGGACACTGTGTTTAGGACGAGACCATATGGTTAGAGGGATGCGAAGAAACATGCATGTGGCTGTTTCACTCTTTCCATGAGGTTGATAAATAAAGAAATGCACAATTTTGACTAGAAGGATCAAATAATTAGAGGATTTGCTATATTACTAATATAATATTAGTCCACTTAGGCCCTTACTATACTCAATAGAAAATTATATAAAATATATCAAGCAACTGGTATATATCTTTAAATTTCTAACACTACATGTCTCTATAGGTTACTCCCTCCGTCCCATAAAATTGTTCCCGCATTGACTTGGATCGGAGTTTAAGAAAGTTAGAATAAAGTGGAAATGTATGGGTGTGGTTGTGTAAGAAAAAAGTAAATGAATGTGAGCCACACAAAACTTTCGAAAAGGAGAAATGAGAACTATTTTTTGGGACGGCCCAAAAAGGAAACCAGGAGCTATTTTGCGGGACGGAGGGAGTGTATTATTTCTTTTTTTTTTGTTTTTAAAATTTTCAGCCATTTGTGATTAATAAAAACTATACTTCTTAAGCAACTGAGTGACCAATTGTATGCATTTCTTTTTATTGTTAAGTTTAAACATTGCTCCTTTCATATGTTTCAACATTGATGTTTCACTTATGTTTGAAGTTTTGGATGTTTTACTTATGTTTGAACTTTTGGATGTTTTTGTGATGTAATCTCTAAGTTTGAAAAAATCTCTTTTTATAATGATGTGAATTTTGAATGTTTTTGTGTAGCATAAATTCAATGGTGTGCAATTTAGCAGTACACTATTTTTAGGAATAGAAAAAGACTGGAACTGAACCGTTCAAACTCTGTTCGGTTCCAAAACGGTCCTGATTTTTTTAAGGAAAAATTGATAGTAATAATGTCAACTATTGGTGGTCCGCTCATAATAATCTCAACTATTGATTATTTCAGAATAATCTCAACTTTAAGGACCTTCCGCCAATAATGGTCCGATGTGACCGACTATTAACAAATTCTTGTAGTTTCTAAAGTGGATGAGAAGAGATATATCAAGTAATCCCTATAAATAATTTCAACTTTTAATTTTTACGCTTAATGTTTATTTAAATTTGGAGGTAATGTCTGGTCATGGACCATTATTGGCGGATGGTCCATATAGTTGGGATTATACAAAAATAATCAATAGTTGGGATTATTATTAGCGGACTGGCAATAGTTAGGATTATTATTTTCAATTTTTCCTTTTTTTAAAGAAACCAAACAGATATTAAGAATTACATTTTTTAAAAATGGTTCTAACAAAGAAGTTTTTATCTAATCTTGTCTCTCTCTAGGGCTTGACCGCCACTAGGGTTTGGTTCGTCCGTTATCGTCTCTTCGATGAGGAACGGTGCCGCCGGTTCTCAATCGGTTTTGGCTTGGAGGTTCTGAACGCTTGTTAACCAGAAGAGGGATTATTGTTGCCTTTATTCTGCCATCTTCACCGAAGCAGAGAGTCGGAGAGGGGAAGACGAAGTGAGTCCGACGCCGAGGGTTTTTAAATGGAGACGATTGTTGATCTGTACCGCAAGATGAGCGTCGAGAAAGAAGAGGTGGAGCTAGATTTCTCCTTTGTCATTTCTGTATGGAGTTTGTGTTTTATAGGATCCTACAAATGTGTATTTCATATACTTCATGTATAATATTGGGCATTTAGACAATCGCGCAACGCGCATGTCAAAAGCTAGTATAAAAAATAAAAGTGGAAAAGTAATAGTTTAGATATGGGAAAGAAAAAAGGGTCGGGCTATCATCGAAATGTAATGAATATAAGTGGCTCAAACGGGTAATTTCTACAATGAAAATTGATAATGCATGTGATAAGCAAATTATATGGTACACCCGGCTGTACCATGGGCACGATACAGTCGTGCCTTTTGTTCTGCTGTGAAATCTATGATGCCGGAAAACAGAAATGACGAGCTCCCAGCAACAGCGACCTACAGCGATGACTATAGGTGGACCAGGTCGGGTCGGCCCGACCTGGGACCCGGTCCGGCACTATTTGAACCCGACCTGAACCGGTCAACCGGGCCCGAACCGGCTTTGTAAACAGACGGGCTCCGAGATTAAAAAACTATGAACCGGCCCGGTCGGTCCGGGCCTAACGGTCCTTTTTTTTTTAAAAAAAAATGGCTTTTAAAAATCATTTTGGGCGGGGGGGGGGGGGGGGGGGGGGGGGCTCCTTAGTCGTTGGCAACGGCTATAGAGCCATTTGGGAGGAGGGTTGGGGGTGGGGGTAAAAAAAACCTATAATTACACCTATTTCTAAACATTTTCCTACACCTATTCTCCAATTCTTCATACTCTCTCCTACTCTAATCATCTTCATCTTCTCCAATTCACTCTACATCTATTAATATACATCATATCATTCAATTACACATATTATATCTACTTAGTATCTATTTAATATATACTTATTATCTAATTATATTTACATTATTACATATATTACATGATTTACATCCACTTAAATACTTAATATCTACTTATTATATACCTTATTATCTACTTATATTTACATATATTATATCTACTTATATATTAAGTATATATTAAAGTATTAAATATAAGTGTACTACTCATCTTATAGTAGTATACTTACATATTATATACTATAAACATTATATTATATATGTAGTATTAGTTAGTTAAAGTATAATTCTTAGTTTATACATTTATTATAGTTTAACTAATATTCATTAATATTAGTTAAATTTATCCCACTAGTTACACTTTTATTAATATTAGTTACATTTATCATATTACTCTTATACGGAGTAGCTTACACACTCACACTCTCATTAATTATTATTATACATTCTTACATTTATCCTATTAGTTACACTTCTCAATAATATTATTAGTTAAACTTTCTCATTTTGTCACCTATAATATTTGTTACATTCCCATTTCTTAAAACATTGAAGTAGTTGCATTTTAGTTAATTTTACTATATCTGTTTCATTATCATATTAATTACATTCTCATTTCTTACTTATTAATATTAATCATATAAAAGTTGCTACCTTAAAATATTGAAGTAGTTTCATTTTAGTTAATTTTACTAAATGCTGGAAGAAACAACAATCAATGGTGGCGGAGATTCCGACTAAATTTTATCAAATGTATTTCATGTTTGAAATCATTTTCAATTATCAAATGTACTTCATATTTCAATCAATTATCAATTTTAGTATTGTACTTCATATTTTAGTATTGAAATCATACACTGAATTTTTTTAGCACTTGTAAATGAATTAACAATCCTATTTCAATCAATTATCATTTCTACTTCATATTTTAATAAATATACTTTGAATTTTTGTTAGCACTTGTAAATTAATTAACAAACTTATTTCAATGAACTATCAATTGTATATCATATTCAATCCATTATCGATTGTTCTTCTTTTTTAAAAAAATTCTTTGAATTTTTTAGCACTTGTAAATTAACTAAGAATTTTCTTATATCAATGAATTATCAATTGTACTATTTCAATCCATCATCAATTGTTTCATCAATTGGGAATTTTAATTTTTATGGGAATAATACCCTCTTTTCATAAAAATTCCCATAATGGATGAAGTCATTAAAGCCAATAGAGGAGAACTACCATAACATTGAGATTGATGTTTATGTTCTTCAACTGGAGAAGAACTCAGTTCATATTTCTGTCTCAAGGAAAAGATCAGAGAAGTCAGAGAAAGAATATGCTCCAAAAAAGTGGGAGAGTGAATTTATCACAACACTGTTTCTCCAACATATCTTGAAGTTGTTTGACTGTGTGTGCGGTTGCGGCCGCCAACTGAACAATTGTGCTTCTTGATATATTTTCTAATGGTGAACCTTAGAGTTTTTTTTTTATCACAATTGCTTGCAACTTCCACTTACAATTATCTCCTTTGCATTTTAGTACATATCTCGATCCATCACTCTTCACAATTATGGTTTCAAAATTCCCATTCATAGCAACTTCTCTCAACTTCTTCTTTAAGTCCTCCCTACTATCAAACGCAAATCCAATGAACAAATCAGAGCCATCATCAAAAGTTCCATCATCCCCAACATCAATTTCTAGAGGATATACCGGCCCACGTATATCCTCCATTATAGAATCTGCAACAATATTCGGGACATCACATTCTGTTGTAGGAGTAAGACCACAGTCATGAGTAGGAAGTTCGTGGGAAGGTAGGCTGAACTTTTGAGTAAGCAATGCATTCTCTTCAAATACACCACAATCTTGTTCAACTATAATATTGCACTGAAAACAAGCATCTTTAAAACCAATTTCATCACTCTCACAATGAGAGTCGAAGTCCATACGGCTAACCCATTTCATCTCATTTCACGGTGGGTTAGAGTTTTCATTCTTCAATCCGATGAATTCACTTGTTTCATGGTGCAACTTGAACGGCTTGCAGGTTAAGTGAGTTGACTCATGCAGGTTGCGACTCAATCAAAATATAAACATCTATTTTTTACTTTCATATCTTCAATATTGATGTTTTACTACCAAAATAATTTTCAAATATAAATATTAATTTACAACCCTTGCTGAACTATTATTTCTATATATAATAATAATTCTTTTTTTTTTATCCCGGAAGGCAAACCACCAAAATCAGTGGGGTAAATGCCGGGGGACATTTACCGAGTTTTATTAATAAAGCTGAAAAGTACAAAAGAGGGGGGACTAGACCAAAACCCCTCAAAGAAATACATCCCAAAAAATTTGAGAGAAAAATTAAAGAAAATTGGGGGGACCAAACCTGACCCAATTACATTCAAAAATCAAACAATTCTAAGATAACTTAAACCAAGTTTATCAGCTATAATAGACAATCGGATTCTATATATAATAATAATTCAAATAAATTACTCTAGCATTATTTCTAATATATGTACCGGAACGTTAGATTTGAAAATTGTAAATTATAAATATAAGGTTGAGTTCAACTGAGAAGACACCTTAACATGTAAAAAGAGAATTAGAATGTACTGGAATGTTAGATTTGACAATTGTGCATTATTTGAATGTGAAATAACAAAATGTTGTGACATTTTTTGTAAAAATTCAAAAGTCTGAAATATTTTAACTATAAGTTTATTGTGCACCCCCATTAAAAAGAATGTGTGTCGTTTGAGATCATTAGGCAGTTATACGATCCAAGATATGAAATCGGGGAGTGCTAACCCATTTAACAACGTCAACATAAATTGAACAGTATAAATAAATATGAGATAAAAAAAAATGAATCTACCTTTAGACATTAATTTGGTAGACGTTGTAAATTAATAAATAGATAAGTAAAATCAAATTTATCCCATTAAGATCGAGACATGTGCAACTATTAAAAAAGATTTTATCTGGCAAATGTTGAAATGTTGATTATCCCTACTTTTTCATTTCAACATATGCCAGATGAAATCTTTTTTAATAGCTGCACATGTCTCGATCTTAATGTGATAAATTTGATTTTACTTATCTATTTATTAATTTACAAGGTCTACCAAATCAATGTCTAAAGGTAGATTCATTTTTTATCTCAGATTTATTTTTACTTTTCAATTTATGTTGACGTTGTTAAATGGGTTAGCACACCCCGATTTCATATCCTGGATCGTCTAACTGCCTAATGGTCTCAAACGACACACATTGTTTTTAATGGGGGTGCACAATAAACTTATAGTTAAAATCATTCAGACTTCAAACGAGCAGGAAATGTTGAATTTTTACAAAAATGTGACAACATTTTGTTATTTCACATTCAAATAATGCACAATTGTCAAATCTAACATTCCGGTACATTCTAATTCTCTTTTTACATGTTAAAGTGTCTTCTCATTTGAACTCAACCTTATATTTATAATTTACAATTTTCAAATCTAACGTTCCGTTATATATATTAGAAACAATGCCAGAGTAATTTATTTGAATTATTATTATATATAGAAATAATAATTCAACAAGGGTTGTAAATTAATATTTATATTTGAAAATTATTTTGGTAGTAAAACATCAATATTGAAGATATGAAAGTAAAAAATAAATGTTTATATTTTGTTTGAGCCGCAACCTGCATGAGCCAACTCACTTAACCTGCAAGCCGTTCAAGTTGCACCATGAAACAAGTGAATTCATCGAATTGAAGAATGAAAACTCAAATTCACTGTGACGTGAGATAAAATGGGCTAGCCCTATGAACTTCGACTCATTTTGATAGCTCTATCCATAGCCGATTGAATTTTATTTTAAAACTAATTGATGAATTCATATACAATTCATTTTTCCTACAATTTTAATAAAAACTTTAACCCCGTGCACCAGATATAGAATTATAGATAGATGTGAGCTGTGGATTTTATTTTCATGTATAGCCTTGCTTGTTAGATGGCCCTGGTTGACGACTGAGCATTTACAAGTTGCTGCTGCTTCACCTCTAGTAACTCAGAGATCAGAAAATGTGTCGCTTATTCTGCCTCCAATATAAAAGATACTTTTCAACCAACATATCATCAACCAATTCACAGATAGCCTGCTTTGCCCGTTCTGGTCAAATTGATGATGCTCGTAAAGTGTTTGATCAACTTTCAAAGAAAAACATTGCTACATGGAATGCTATGATCTCATGTTACTTCCAAAATCACCAACCAATTGAAGCTCAAAAGTTGTTTGACCAAATGCCTAGAAGGAATATTGTGTCTTGGAATGGGTTGATTTCAGGATACGTGAAAAATAGGATGGTAGACGAGGCAAGAAAAGTGTTCGGAAGAATGCCTGAAAGGAATGTCGTGTCGTGGACAGCTCTTGTTAGAGGGTATGTTGAGGAAGGGTTGATATATCAGGCTGAAAGCCTTTTCTGGCAAATGCCAGAAAAGAATGTGGTGTCCTGGACAGTAATGATGGGAGGGTTGATTCATGATGGAAGGATTGATGAGGCAAAAAGGCTGTATGACATGATGCCAGTGAAGGATGTGGTGTCAATGACTAACATGATTGGTGGGTATTGTCTAGCGGGGAGGGTAGACCAGGCACGTGAGATCTTTGATAGCATGGAAGTAAAGAATGTAGTTTCATGGACATCTATGGTCACAGGATATGCTCAAAATGACAGAGTAGACATTGCCAGGAAGCTTTTTGAGGTCATGCCTGAGAAGAATGAGGTGTCGTGGACATCTATGCTTCTTGGATACACTCAGAATGGAAGAATAGAAGAGGCATGGAAGTTGTTCAAAGAGATGCCTTTAAAACCAACAGCTGCTTGTAATGCAATAATACTCGGTGTAGGACAGAATGGGGAGATTGAAAAGGCAAGGGTGGTATTTGATTCTACAGAGGAGAAGGATGGCGGAACTTGGAGTGCTATGATTAAGGTTTATGAAAGGAAAGGCTATGAATTGAATGCACTCGGCTTATTTCGTTTGATGCAAAGTAAAGGTGTTCGTCCAAATTTTCCTTCCTTAATTAGCATACTCTCTGTCTGTGCAAGTCTTGCAAGTCTTGATTGTGGTAGAGAGGTACATGCATCATTGATCAGATCCAACTTTGATGAAGATGTGTTCGTCTCTTCGGTGTTGATTACAATGTATTTTAAATGTGGCGATCTTGTCAGGGCAAGAAGAGTCTTTGACAGATCATCTTCCAAAGATACCGTCATGTGGAATTCTATTATAACAGGTTATGCTCAAAACGGTTTGGGAGAAGAATCTGTTAATTTTTTCAGAGAAATGTGTTTGCAGGGATTTGCGCCCGATGTGGTTACTTTTGTGGGACTTCTGACTGCTTGCAGCTACACTGGAAAGGTGAAAGAAGCAGAAGATATATTTGACTCCATGAAGTCAGAGTACCAAGTAGAGCCAGAAACTGCACATTATGCTTGTATGGTAGATGTACTTGGTAGAGCTGGTCGCTTGACTGAAGCGATGGGTTTGATAGAAAAAATGCCTGTGGTAGCCGATGCAGTTATATGGGGTTCTTTGCTTAATGCTTGTAAAATGCACATGAATCTAGACCTGGCTGAAGTTGCAGCAAAAGAGCTTCTACTACTCGAGCCCCAAAAATCAGGCTCTTATGTCCTTCTCTCTAATATTTATGCTACAAAGGGTATGTGGGCCGATGTTGCAAAAATCCGAGAAGACATGAGGTCCAGGAAGTTGATTAAGTCACCTGCTTGCAGCTGGCTTGAGGTGGAGAAGAAGGTGCATATGTTCACCGGTGGAGAGAGCAAGCCCCACCCCGAACATCAAATGATTACCAAAATGTTGGATAAATTGGGTTCCATGTTAAGAGAAGCTGGATATTGTCCGGATGGTAGCTTTGTTCTTCATGATTTGGAAGAGGAGGAGAGGGCGCAGAGCTTGCGTTATCACAGTGAGAGGTTGGCTGTGGCGTATGGACTGCTTAAGCTGCCAGAAGGAGTGGCCATAAGAGTTATGAAAAATCTTCGGGTTTGTGGGGATTGCCATTCTGCTATAAAGCTAATAGCTAAAGTCACAGGACGGGAGATCATTCTTAGAGATGCCAATAGATTTCATCACTTTAAAGAGGGCTCCTGTTCATGCAGAGACTATTGGTGACATACAAATGAACATAAAATTGCATAATGCCAGTGGACTGGAAAAAGGCACGGATTGTCAAATCAGTAAGTCTCATCCTTCTTAGTCATTGTGACATTGAATAAGTAGCATGCCTGCGCACACAGTTTTAAACTGAGGGCAGAACCCCTTTAATGGGCAATCATCTAATTTTGATGCAGAATGACCTTTCACTATTCATTATTCTTCTTGATGAGTTGATGTGGGATAAAAAAAATATCCCACATCAAGAAAATTTAATGAAAAGTGAAAGATCATTCTGTTTTTCATATAATGTTAGTAGATAAGATCTAAACAGAAATAATGTTTATGATATCTGTATTTTTCAGATCTCCCAGTTAAACGAAGGGCAAGCCATTTGTTAAAATGGCCAAAGTTAACAGCGCGCAATGATAGGTACCGATCCTTCAAAAAGACTGTCTGATCAATTTGTTTGTTTAGATCGTCGTTAGTTCGAAATCGGTAACTACCAATATTTTACTTGCAGATGGTCCCAAATGGAATTGCTGAAATTAGATAAACTCTACTAATATCTTACCTAGATTATACTCCATATATTATACAAATTTTTCCAAATAAAACGATTGACAACCTCATTTTCACTAATATCAATTTATAAAAACTTGCAATTACATAAGAGTGATGTAAATCTAAACTACAGTCACATTAAAACTAACAAAACTTCAAGCAATTCCCTCAAACGAATTAAGTATCAATTTTTTGTCAACAAAAAATTGTATAAATCAATCAGTAGAATGGCTGAAGTTTAGCAATGATACTATAATATATTAATACTCTGTATGATTCTGTAAAGTTCTATTTTAAATGAAACTGGCATAATCTGTTTTTGAAGTCAGGGTTTCTTATACTCTAGCTAACCTTATTTTTGTTAGTCTTAGCTACCTCAGGTCTTTCCTATATAATACTATAAGAAAATTTCATTCAGCCCTTCATTTCACTAAGCTATCAAAGACCTAATCCCCGCTAAGTTGTTTTTAAAACTTCATCCCTGCACCTATGTTTTAAGTTTAGATGGCAAAAGTTGTATTTAAATAGCAGATGTTGTATAGTAGTAGTAATCTTTGTTTTCCTTAATCTGATATCTATATGGCATTCCACTTGACATGTAACGTGGTCACCTTCACAAATACCCACACAATATTTGAAATCAGATTTTCTATATCGGAAAGACAATAACTTTGAAGATCAGGAATTAGCTATGGAGATTGGAGAGATCCATTGCTGGGCAGGTTCTTGCTTATTTGTACGATAGACGTCAAGAAACTACATGAAGTCTAGACTTTGCTTATACTTCTAGAGTTGTATTCTTATTTGCTTTTCTCCTCAGCAGCTCAAAACTTTAAATGAAAGAAAAGAGTAGAAGGATTGAACGGTGTGCGTTTGCAATGAGGTTCCTTGGACACGGCTGGCCGGAGTTGATGAGCTGATTTTTTCATTTTTTTTCGACGGGATTTGATCCAGGCATGTTTTTACTACTAACTAATAAAGTGTTACTGAAGCTGAATATGCCTCAAGTCCAATTGCCATTTGCATTATTTTTACTCTTTGACTTTCTACTATTCAACTTTGTACCATAGATGATGTATACCCAAATTGATTTGTAAAATTAACATTTTTTTGTTAACCAATGTTGAAGTTAAATCCTCCCTATTGATAATTAGTTCAACTTTTAGTAATTAAAATTTACATATTCTGAAATTACACTAAAATCTCTAAGGCCTTGTTTGGCAATCGGCTGTTAACTGTTAGCTGTTAGCTGGTTACGACAACTGATTGACAATAGCTGGTTGTGTCAGCTATTTTAGTTGGCTGATTATGTTAGCTTGTTGTCAGCAAATGTTTGATAAAATAGCTGTTTAAGAATAGCTGTTTGATTGTAAAAAGACATAAAAGGACATTTGTATTTATTTTTAGCTATTGCTTATAAAAATAATATTACCTACGTTTACTTACAAAGTATAAATTATTCATATTTTATAATAATAATAATAATAATAGTAATAATACGTACGGAGTAATAGATAAGAAATGTAATTAGTATCGAAATATTTGCAATCCATTTTCAATCTGTGATTAGCATTTAGCATGCATAGAAAATGTTACTATGCATATGAAACGTAATTAGTATCGAAACATTTTCAATCCATTTACTATTGCTAAAGAAGCTGTAGATAGATTTCTCGTGTTTTACATATCTCATACAGTACCTAAACTGGATATATAAAATAAAACTTTTCTAACTCTTTTTTATTGGTAAGATGTAGTATTAATTAAGGAGTAACTATTAATTACTAGTATAATTTTTTGTTATATTATTATTTGTTTTGTAAATATATAAATATTATTTATTCACATTCATTTATTTTAGTAGTCAATAAGTAAAGTAAAATCAAAAAATAAATAAATAAAAAGTCAACCTAAAAAGTACCAAGAAAAGAATATACAAAATATTTCCTACTACATACGTATTAGAGACCTACGAGTAGGAGGAGAAGATTGTAAAAATGTGAACCAGCCAACCACAAACGCTGCTATGTATGGCGTTTTCAACAATCTAATTTTTTGGCTGGTTGGAATGAAGAAGCTAATTCAACAAGCTATTCACCAAACATATTATTTGGCTTATTAATTAGTCAAAGCATCTAAATTTGGTCAAACCAGCCAAAAAATGGCTGATAAGCCATTTGCCAAACATGGCCTAAATCTTTATAAAATTGCACAATTCAAATTAGAATATAATTAAAAGTTCATATCCTAATTAAGTGAATAAAATGAAACTGTTTGACAAAAGAAGTTGACTTTGCAAATCAATTTAGGACATGAGTAGTATTATTTAACTTTTCTAGTATAGATCATGTTTAATCTTTTACTTCTCAATTTTTATCAATGTATCATTTCGAATGCTATATTGCCATCTACTTGAAGATTCCTTCTTTTAGGATTGTATCAAATGCATATATGGGCACCACTTTATTCTAGGGGTTTTGGAAGAGAAGACTATTTTCAAAAACATTTTGCTTTTATATAATGCAGAGTACTAGAATTTACTTTTATATAATATAATGATGATATGTTTTTTTATCTTTACTTGGTTGTTGAGTAGCATTATTATTTAGAAATAATGACAAAAATATTACTTGTAGGGTTTAGATGGACAAGAAAAAGAATTTTATCAATTCAGGATCTGAAAGATACACAAACTATCAATCCAGGACCTGAAAGATCAAATGCATTGATATAGGACCCAAATGGTGGAAAATTATCAATCTAGGACCCGAATGATCGAAAACTATCAATATAGGACCTAAATTTCCATAAATTTTATTAACTTTTTTTATTTTAAAAAAATTTAATATTATTTAGATTTATTAAACTAATAAACTTTTGTGAAGAAAAAGTCCTCAAATTTGCAATGGAATTAATAAAAAATTAAATAAATCAAAATCTATGAAGTGTTAGATCCTAAATTGATAGTTTTTCATCATTCGGATCCTACACCGATACATTTCATCTTTCAGGTCTCAAATTGATAATTCGTGTTTCTTTCGGGTCCCGAAAGATAGACCATAGATGTCCATGAAACTACATTCTGAGCATCTGTGGCCGCTTCCTATATTGATAGGTCCTATCAATATAGGACCTAAAAATATGACCATTTTAAAGATAGACAAAAATCTGACTCCAGCGACCACTCTTATCTTATCCCATAAGTAAGTCACATGCCCTCTCTCCTACTCTTGTAACTCGGTCCCTGCTTCTCACCTTCATCATCGACCATGAGTCGACCACCAACGCGACACCATCGAAGCAGACGAAGACCACCGATACGACGACGCCGATAAGAAGTGACGACGATTTCTCTTCATTTTCTTCTTCGCTGCTTCTTTCCTAATCTATGTTCACTAGCTTCAGATATGTGGTCGATTTCGGATCTGTGGTGAGGAGGGAGGTGGTTGGGCTGAGTTTCAGAGGGGCTTAGGTGAGGAGGGTGGTGGTTGTTGGGGGGTAAGGATGCGTTGTTGGGTGGTGTAGGGGGCACATTCGGTTGTGGAGGGTTGTTGGGCGGTGCTGGGGCGGATCCAGTTGTGGCAGGTTGTTGGGCGGCGCTGGGCAGATAGACTGTAGTGTGGCGGGGCGAGATCGGGGAGCTATGGAGGGGAGCTTGCTGGCCATGCATTTTGGTGTAGGTTCTGGGGAGCCGGGTTAGGGGTGTGAGGATAGGGTCAGCGGTGCTGGAGACTCACCACTGGGGCTAGGGAGAGTCAAAGAGACTCAGACGGGTGGGTCTGGTAGTGGTGTGGGCTGGGCGTAGGGTTGACAATATCACCCACACCCGCGGATACCCGGTTAACCCGAACCGAAAATGTGGGCGAAAACCCGAAAACTATGGATGAAAAATGGATGACGGGTGGATTGAAAGATGGGTTGGATCGGGTGTGGACGAACACTCATCCAACCCATCACCCGATCCGTCACCCGCTCCATCCACCCACACCCGCTAACCCGCATATAAATATATAATATTTATTTAATAATATGTATAATGATTAATATTAATATATATGTATTTTTTATTGGAGAAAACACATATCTATGAATTGGTTTATTAAAGATAATTGGATAGTTTCAAAAGGTAACAGTTGAGCTGCAAAAATGATTTTGTGCCGGTGCAAAAATGCAGAATGAGTGAATGACAGCTTGAAGAAGTTTTATATCTATTTTGTTTGACAATCAGTTTTTTATTTATCTGCCGTGAATTAATGATTGTAATATACTTAATTACTCAAGTTTTTGTTGTTATTATTTAATGAATTCTTAATTTTTGGTTTTTAATTATTATGTTTTCTCCTTGTAAATTATTTTTTGTCTTTCAAGTTAGACAATTTATATTCACCCGATCCACCCGATAACCCATTCATGACGGATGGATTGGATGTGGATGTAATATTTAATGGATGATGGACGGGTGGATGAAATATGAAAAATTAGCGGGTGGACGTGGATGAGCCCCCACCCGGTCTAAATCCGACCCATTGCCACCCCTAGCTGGGCGGTGTTGTCACTAAGGCGGTGTCACTTGGAGGTGTCACTGTGGCCGCCGTCGGCCATCGGCAGATGTGACTGGCGGTGCGCCGGCGGCTAAGATGTCACTACATGATGTCAATGTAGATTACAACCTCCCATGTGCTCTGTTGGGTCAGGGCGTGGGCCATGGGGGGTCCTTGGGGTTGGGGATTCAACCTTTTGGATAAATTTGTTTTTTGTATCAATATTTTAAAGAGAGCGAAAATGTACAAATAGACCTCTATAGTAGGGGTGGAAGAACAAATATACGCATGTTCTATCTTTCAGAACTGATAATATGTCCTTGAAGTATAGGTTGGAGTGCATATATACCCCTGAAACTTTTAAAAAGTGTAAAAGTACCTCTCATTTTCTCACTAAGGAGCAAATTTACTCTTATTGACTTTAAATAGATAAAATAAATTTCAAAAAATGCCAAAAATAAATTATAAATTCAAAATTTAAATATAAAGATTTATTATTATGTTAAAATATTAACTCTTTAATTTTAAATTGATTTTTTTTTCTTTTGTAAATGAAACACTTTAAATTCACCAATATTAATTTTAGTCTTATTGCGAAAATTTGAACACATTGTTACATTTTTTGAGATAACATTCTTTGATTTTGTTTACCCTTGATAAAATTAAATTCCCTATTTTATAATTTTGGACTATTTATCATCATACAAAAGATATAATTTTATAGAGCAAAAAATGCAAAAAATTATTAATTTTACATTGCAACACATATGTTAACACTTTTTCTAAAGAATCTAAAATGTACAGTAAAGTTTTGAAACACTATTTTATACTAATAATATTAAATTGTGATATAAAAACAATTCAATAAAATGGAGGAGTTTTTTCCCGAAATAATGCTAATTAATTAAATAATTCCCAAAATACTGTTGGGTTAAAAATAATTCCCAAAATACTGTACGTGGTTAAGAAAAGCCGCCACTTGAAGTGGCGGCTCTTCTCTTACAGTACAAAAGCCGCCACTTCAAGTGGCGTCTCTTCTCTTACAACACATTTTGTACATATATAAAACGCAGTATGTTTCAAGAATGTTTCAACTATCTTCCCTATTGAATTTTGAGCTGAAATTTTGTATGAATAAACAAGACTTGATGAGGAACATGCTCAAAACGTTTCATCAAAAAATTCTACTGGGAAGACTCTCTGATGGTGTTGTCCGCATGGGGGTTCCGGTCAGGACGTCGTGACAGGAATAAGACATTTTTATGAAATTTGAGGTGCTTCCGAGTTGATTTTGATGATGACATTTGATGATCATGTTCTTCCTAAAGTGTAGGTTATGTTACCAAATTTCAGATTAAATTTAAATCAAGAAGTTAGTTAAATTATTTATTGAAAAAACATGCATATTTAGGCCTAAAAATTGTGCAATTTCAAAAATTTGTTTAACTAACTTCCCGATTGAAAGGAACCAACTGAAGATTCGAGCTATCACCACCATCATTATGCCCTAACAAACAATTCTTTCTCTTCCACTTGCTAAATAAATATGAACTCTCTTTGAGCAGTTTATGGCCATTGGAAACAGTTTCAACACTCGTATCAACTTTATCAACCGGTACTATTGCTCTAAGTTCCAATTGCACAATCACAGTTTCGCCCAATTCACCTGAGCTCATATCTGGAAGGCAACGGTAAATTCAAATTCTATAATCTAGAGGAGCATGTGTAATCCTACAACATACAAACTATTGATAGAAATGGTCAAAGTAATGTAAAAATGGAAATGCATATCACATATAACACATGCAGCTAAAACATGATGACTTATGGACAAATTATCAACAAATATGAAACAATAAGAAATTATAAAATATTGCGTCCGGGAAATAACATACCAAACGATTTAGTTGCATAATTTCTGAAATTTTCTTGGCAAAAATTTTGTCCTGTGCCTTCTGAAAATGTTCATGTAATTTGTCTCGTGCCATCTAAAAGTTGCAATTTTAGACCTATTTCATTTGAACTATTTCCGGGTCGAATTTGTTGATGAAATTTGGTAAGCATGTCCCCATGGAATGTAGATATGTCACCAAATTTTCGATTGAAATTCAATCGGGAAGTTAGTTAAATAAATTTTTAAAAATCGCATAATTTTTCGGCCTAATAAAAATGCAGTTTTCTTCAATAAATAATTTAACTAACTTCTTGATTTAATTTTAATCTGAAATTGGGTGAACATAACCTACACTTTAGGATGAACACGATCACCAAATTTTATCAAAAAAATTGACTCGGAAGCCCCTCAAATTTCATAAAAATGTCTCATTCCTGTCACGAAGTTCTGATCGGAACCCCCGTGCGGACAACATCATCAGAGGGCCTTCCCGGTGATTTTTTTTGATAAATTGTTTTGAGTATGTTCTTCATCAAGTCTAGTTTATTCATACCAAATTTCAGCTCAAAACTCAATCAAGAAGATAGTTAAAAAAATCTTGAAACATACTACATTTTATATATGTACAAAATGTGCCGTAAGAGAAGAGCCGCCACTTCAAGTGGCGGCTTTCCTTAACCACAGTTAACCCAACAGTATTTTGGGAATTATTTCTAACCCAACAGTATTTTGGGAATTATTTATTTAATTAGCATTATTTCGGGGAAAAACTCAAAATGGAGAATCAGACACAAGTGCATTTTTAAAATTTTTTAGTTTTAATTTCAAATTTAATTTGTTTTGGTGTTTTTTAAAAGTTATTTTTTCAATTTAAAGTAAATAAGAGTAAATTTTCTCCTTGTTAAGAACCTGAGGGATTTCTTACACATTTTAAAAATTCATAAGTTTGTAAGTTTGATTTATTTTTAAAATGGAAAATAAGACAATTAATTTGACAAATGGGAAAAAAATTGATACAATTAATTATTTTTATAACTTGCCCGGCAATGCCTCTCGCAGAGTCACTGGTCTTCCTGGAACTGGAAGTATAACCCTCGAAATCACCAAACACCACGTTTGCTATCTTTGATTTTAGATGGCTACTCACAGTGTAGCTGTGATAATAAAAAACCCGTTGAACCCCGCAGAATTTCTTCTGGTGAAACAGACCCCACCCCCCAAATTCAATGACTCAGAGTACGACTCCTTCATCGACTCCGACCTCTGGGACTTGCCGTCCGCTAAGCTTCGTCCGCTGACATCGCCGCCGGCGTCTAAGGCTGTCGTCCATGTCGACGATTGTGAGTTGGGCGATTTCGGGTCCACTCAACTCGACCTCAGTTCAGCTCTTATTCAGGTAATTAAATGGCCCAATACACAGTTTTGTTCAAATAAAAGTATGGCGACTTGTCCTCAATTTGATAGGAGTACATTTTTAATTTCACATTTTCTTCTTCTCCTTCTTCTGTGAATGTGCGAATGTAACAATAATTGCACGACTTGAATATAAACTAGAATGTCATTTTGTTGAGATGAAGGAATTATCTGTACGGACTTGAAGGAAAATAATTTGGGAACAAAAGCTGCAAGAATATATATTTTTTGAAATAGTCCGTGCAAGGCAGTGAGGATACTAAATACAATGTTTGATAAGCCATGAAATTGATAGCTTTTATAATGAGCAAAATAGTCTCCTCCCAAATTAATCACTAGTATATAATTAAATCAAATATAAAAATCACATATGATTTTGTTTAAACTAGTTAGAAGGGTATGCATTGACTATTCTTTTATACGATCATATAATGTCACCAGACTTGATCACTTTGGTGCTTGGTATATGATCGTTTATTTTATGAAAAAAGAGTTTTTTTTCCCGAATTAATGCAAATTTAATAAGTATTTACCAAAATAATGTTGGGTTAAAAGTCTTTACCAATCTACTGATGGGCTTAACGCGGGTTGGGGAAAGTCATTAAACGGTTTGGCGACTTAGGGAGTGTTTGCAACTGCTTCTGCTTAAAAAACACTTTTGGAGATGTAAGGAAAAAGTGATTAGTAGTAAAAGTTGATAGTGTTTGAGAACAAAGTGATTTTGAAAAGTAAAAGTTGATAGTGTTTGATAAAATAAGTGCTTTTTGTGTAATAGAAAGGGGAAAGCACTTTTCACACGCAAGCCGAGAAAGAGAAAAAATTGATAGTGTTTGGTAAATAAGTGCTTTTTTAAGCCAAAAGCTCAGAAATGCTTTTTTTTAAGTTGTTTCAAACACTCCCTTATAAGTCGCCAACCGGGATGACAACTTTCCCCTGCACCTGCAACACCAGTAAGTTTACAAATCAAATACAAAAACAGAACACAATTAGAAAGATACATAGCAATGCGCCTGATCACAAACACAATATAAAAACACAGTACAAACATCCAATATGCATAACCAAACACATCAACACATCATAAACAAATGAATAAGTAACTAATAACATAATATCCAATAGTTTGCAGGTGAACATACGTAAAAAAGTAAAGTGTCTCACACATAGAAAACTTCTACCACATTCAGGGTACATGAATAAGTCCAATAATGGAGACAGACTACAAGTTTTCATGGTATTTTTTATCGTCTTGGTCACGTTGACTCTGGGATGTAGAAGTTGCTGCTGCTGTAAATGTCGATGCCATAGAATCCTGAGAGGGGGTCATATGTATAAGATGCCCATAGTCCACTCGCCCCAACACATCCGAACACAAGGAAGCAATGCCCGTCAGAACCTGACCGTACGTGTCCACGTCATGCGTATCACTCATTATGTCAGTCGCTCGCTCATGTATACGTTGCAAAGCCTGTGTTTGAATTGTGAAACATGAATTATAATTATTTTCAAATAAATAAATGTTACATAAAAACATGAATTACTTTAGTAATTAATAGCACACTCACCGTCAACTGCAATGCCATGGAACTATGCCGATAATGATGAGTAGGGAGCCTAAAAGAAGGAAAGACAAACAACCACGTGATGCTGTAATACCATCTCATGTAGTCTACAGAAACAAACGGGAGTAATGTCGGCGTCCCAGTCACAACAAGCTCCGCTCGCCTCTCCCATATAGTCACGTATCGAATATGTCTGAGTGACCAATCCTTCATAGACTCCCCATGCCTGTCCAACTTATGAAGATCTACGCATGTGTCGACGGCGGTTGGAATGACCTGCTCATGGCCAAACTGACGCAGTACACGAGGCAAATGAAACTCAACAATGTCAAAACATATCAACTGCACAGAGCGCACACACACGTAATCGCCGATAAATACTTCACTTGCTAAAAACAAAAAAGCATTGTCATAAAAGTTTCACCAAATTAAGCGTGAAATATGGTACTAATCTTCAACACCATTCAATATCAATATCACAACCGGCCTGCAGACATTAGCTATGTTGCGACTGCCCATGACAATAGCCATTGTTGGTCACTTAACGAACTACATATGACAATGGGTTGGGTTTAGATTATATGGAGTTTCACTCACATCCATCCGCCAACTCGCATTTTACCACTTGTGACTTGTCACATGACTCGGCCTATCAACTGTTACACGCACCAGTGCCATCCGATTCACTTCGGTCGAATGAGATGGATCAAGTTCATAATGGATGAAAATAGTACTCCCTTCATACTTGAATCTTTGCTTTTAAAATATAAGAATAAAATACATAATGCATAATTAAAGCAAAAAAGCCATGACAATAGCCATTGTTGGTCACTTAACGAACTACATATGACAATGGGTTGGGTTTAAATTATATGGAGTTTCACTCACATCCATCCGCCAACTCGCATTTTACCACTTGTGACTTGCCACATGACCCGGCCTATCAACTGTTACACGCAGGTAACACCAGTGCCATCCAATTCACTTCGGTCGAATGAGATGGATCAAGTTCATAATGGATGAAAATAGTACTCCCTTCATACTTGAATCTTTGCTTTTAAAATATAAGAATAAAATACATAATGCATAATTAAAGCAAAAAAGCGCACAAAAGCGATGAGGTGGGGCTTCATTTAAGAGCGGAAGTGCTAAACAAAGGTAGCTTTCTCACCATTGTTCTAAAAACCGCCTTAGCCGGTCTGATTAATGCGCCCCTCAACCACCCGACTAGCGCCTAGCAAGTTCTAGAAAGAGTTTTTCACAAAAAGCGATGTTTATAATAAAATATAAGAATAAAATATGTAATGCATAATTAAGCAAAAGATGCATAAGTAGGCATTAAAGTCATAAGAGTAATACTTGTGCGGGATAAAGATATGAAATATTCAACACACAATTAAGCAAAAAATGCATAACTAGTCATAAAAGTCATAAGAGTAATACTAATGCGGCATAAAGTAAAAGACATTCATCACACAATGCCATAATTTCATTAAAAATGATTCTACGAATCATCGTCACTCCATCATTTCATCCTCCACGTCAAAGTGGTCTTCTTCTTCTCCAACATCTTCTTCATCCTCATCTTCATCAACAAGTATATGGATGGAGGCTTTTTCTTTTCTCTTGGACTTGAAACTTTTCGCTTTGTCTTTCCGTTTGGAATTGTGCCTATGAGAATATGATGTATCGTGTATACCAGAAAACTTTGCAATGTCTTCCATTTCAAATTATCTCTGTTATCATTGACCAACTCTTCATTTCGCACTGTCAAGTTTACTGGTCAACCATTCATTTGCTATGTATATGTATTTCAAGCAAATAGGATCAATATAATTACACATTTCCCAATGATGTCTCAAAGCCATATTGTACTTAACAAAAACCAAATCATTAAGGCGATTGTATCCTGGATGACTTCTCTTCTTGGAATGCAACTGCCAAGTAGTTTAAATATTTTGGTTAGTTAAGTACATGAAGTAAAATTGAAATTGACCTACACTAGTCACTAGAATAATTATTCTTACATGTTGAAATACACTCCTATACTTCTCACATCCTGATGCATTCTTTGTTAAACTAAGAAGCTTGATTGCAAATCCCTTTATCTGGGGACCACTAGCGCGAAAAGATGTCCACTAGTCAACTATAAAATAAATTTAAATTGTAATACCATAATAATAATTATTTTTAAATGGATCAGCAGTAATATATTTTTGGGAAAATTCCCAAAATAGGAGTACAAATGTTTGGAAATTTTAAAACAAGACTGATATGTATTTCTTCCTTAAATAGGAGTACGTTGCAACCATTCTGAAAATGTACTGTGTTTTTGGCATTACCAAGCTTTAAACATGACAGTATTTTTCAAGCTTGACAGTTTTTACTTTTATTTAGGGAATTAAATTATAGCACTCCTATTTTAAAAATTCCCAAACAATTTTATCCCTATATAGGTCAATTTCTTTATATTTTTATGGATTTGTGTAGGTTTTGGGACAACTTGGATTTGATGAGGCTTCAGAGGTTAAGTGGACATTTCACAAGTGTGTGGAAGAGCCAGAATATGGACCTGGAGTACCCACAAAAACGGTCTATATTATTGGAACCTTGGTTCATAAACATGAAAACTCAACTGGTATTATCCGCCTCTTCTTTAATAACCACATTCTCCCTTTGGTATATTAGTGTAAAAACCAAGGTTGTTAAAATCGCGAGATGAATCGTAAAATCGTACGATTTTACGATTCAACATCACTAAAAAGATTTGAATCGTACACAAAATCGGAAATATCATAAATCGTATAAAATCGTTAAAAACTCGGGAAAAAATCGCTGAAATCGCGATTTTCACCGATTTTACGACTTTAAAAATTAATTTTAAACTAAGCAAATTAAAGCCCAATTTGCTCAGGCTTTTAAGAATTTGTGTTCAACTAAAGCCAAACACGGCCCAAATTCATTAGGCGTGTAAACAACTAAGTAGTTGCTGCCTGTTTAAAGTGAGTAAGGTACTAGCATTATATAGCCGAAGAGGGATGGGAGTTCGCCTTATGATTCCGGTGTGGGAAACTGGGAATGTTCGTTGCATTTGAGAAGAGAGATTTTTTTTAAAAACTTTGGATCTAAGCTGGTAAATGAAAATACGTATAGTACTATCCACCTAGTTAGCACTTAGCTTTAGCAACTCACCAATAACAACCTTGTTGATTAATTAATAGGAATATAAAGTATCAAAACGCACCTATAGGACTTGATTTAGTAAACACATATATAGTTATGCTAGTACTATTTTAACTAATATTTAACTTGATTATACGGAGTTAAGTGACTTATGTTCTTTGGTTACATATCATCAATTATTTTGTTCACTTTAATTAAGACATCTTTGTAAGACTTGAGCATATAATGATTTGACTTATAGTCTTAAATTTGCAATAATTTGACTAATGAATGTTAAACTATATGTTTTCTTTAGCATAATATTTTTAGTAATATACATTTAATTCCTTTATAAAATCTTACGATTTATGATTCGATTTTACGATTCGATTTTTAAACCCTTGTCCCGATTCGATCTAAAAATACCATTTTAACAACCTTGGTAAAAACTGGGCCATGCCATGTTTTCTATGGAGTTTATTGTACAATTGCCTGATTTTGCTGTTAAAGATCTTAGACACAGTTCAGAGAAACTTTTTGTTCTCCTTGGTATTCGACGTGGCTTTGGCTACAAATGACCTCAAATTTTCAAAACAGATAATTTTTTTGTCAACCTATATGATATACTATTTGGCTTAATAATAAGGATCTTATTTTAAGTAATGTCTTAAAGTATTAAGTAAAGTTTGCCTGAGTTGACACTTGAAAAGAGAAGTAGAATATGCATTTGACATTTTAGAATTTAGAAGAAACTGGAATGTTCAATTGCAGGACATTGATAGTATACTCCTATGCAATCCTAATGTTAAACCCTTGCCGGAATTGGGCAGCGCATAATTTGTATAGTAATACTACGTATATCTTAAGTCTCAAATTAAGCCTCATTAATGTGGCAATGAAGATTATGTCCGAATATCATATAGCACAAGTCTTATTATTGCTCTAAACAGGTTCAATCTCATTGCTATTTTCTCCCAGTAGTCCTGAGGCCGACATCAGAACTTAATTTAGAACACAGGTTGATATTATATCATAATGCATTTCCTGTTTATTCGTTCAGAGATTTCTAAGTGGATGAGCATTGAAATGTGCCTTAACATGCTTATAGACGTAAAGCCCAGTGAGGACCGTATAGGACCATTGGTTAATGTTGGTCTTCTCAATGCTGCAAGAGAATCTGGAAACTGTAAAATCTCTCAAACTTTGAATTTTCAGGTTTGCAAGTACACAAATTTTGCTTGACTTTCTTCCAAAGATGTGGTGTGAATGATATACTTATCATAACAGGATGCCACGCTATTTGTTTAACTCTCTCTAGTCTGTGTTTCTTCATATTAATCTTTTGCGTCTTCTAATATATGAGGAATACCTTCCTGGCCTTACACTTGTGCCAATGGGGAGTAGAACAGCAAAACCTTTTCACACGACAAACTTAATTGTGCTTGTACCCGAAAGGAATCGCAATGGATGCGCTGATGATACCATTGCTGTTCGCGGGGAAGCTTTGATAGTAGACCCAGGCTGCAAGTCTGCTTTCTATGATGAGGTACAAGATTAGATTCAAGTTCTTTACTATTTCTTTTGAAATATATTATAATGAGTGTTGGAATATGCTTTGAAATAATTTGGGAATATACTCTAGGATATTTTTATTGTATAGAATCTTATAGGAATATTTATCTTTGTAATGTATACTTCTATTGATTTAAAGTTTAAACCATCCAATAAAATACACATATAATCTTTCCCTTCTCATTACTAATAACATGGTATTGGAGCAATTCTGCTACATTTCAGTCAGTTTCACACAGAGTTATTTCTTTCAGAAACTTAGTTCAATTCAGAACCCCAGTCAACACACCATCAACCGGAACCTGTATTCAGAACCTTAGTCTTGGTCAACACTACCCTATCTCACCTCCATCCTTATCTGGTGCGCCTACCGCCGGAAGTGCTCGCAGCCGCTGCATGTACCGGCGCGTGACGCTTCATTTCTGACTGGAGCTTTCAATCGGAAACTATCGATAGACTCGACTGAGTGTCCACTACCTGTGCAAGTATGGTGCGTTGGGTGACACCTGATAGTCTCGTTTCAAATGGTATCTATGCAGCTTGGTACATTCGACAATGCCTGGTAATCTGGTGCGATGAGCGTGGACCAAGCTGGGCACGCTTGCCCCAAATTTTTAGTCTATCAGTCAATGAACTAGAAATTTTGGTGTAAGTTTACATTAATATCCTGATTTCACTTCACTGCCGACTGAAAAGGAACAAGGAAAAAAATGCCTCGGTCACATTCTGACACAGACACCTCGGCGGTAGTAAATAATCGACCTTTGTTATCCCCTTTAACTTTTTGTGTGTGTGCTGTATATCCCCTTTAACTTATAAATTACTAAGAATAAACTTTGTGGCTCCAATTATCTTGAATGGAATAAAAATAGCAAAAGTTAATTACGGAGCATGGATAAATATACCCACTTACCACCAAAGGAGGAGATTGGTAAAGTTGCTAATGATGTGTGGCTTCGTGATGATTCTAGATTTTTATCCAGATTTAAATCAACGGAGAATGAGGTAGTGGGATGTCATTGTGATAATGTGAGGGAATTGTTTGGTTAGTTGGAATTTATGTATTCCGGCAAAGGTAGTAATCTTGTTCTTAACCATATCCATAAGGATTGCAAAGCCTTTTATCGAGCAGAAATGAAAGATAAGCCTCTTACGACTTATTTTATGGATTTCAAGAGAACATATGAAGACTTAATACACTAACTGCATTTAGTCAAGACATCGAAGTGCATGAAAAATAATGAGAACAAATGGCATCCATGAGCTTTTAGGCAGGTCTTGCATTCCATTTTGAAACAACCAAATCACATGTCTTGTTTAGTGACATGGTCTCTTCTCTTCAAGAGGCATTCAATAGAGTGATTCGAACTGAAAGTTCATCCACATCATCAACATCTCAGTCAAATAATGCATTTGTAGGGCATGTTCCGACATTCCATAAAGGAGGTGAGAAATGGCCACGACGTAACGTGCTGGCCCATTGGGCAAAGGAGCATTATGCAACTGCGGTAAGAAACCTAGACACTTACCAAAGAATGTAGAAAACTAAAGTTAAAAAAACAAGGAGATTAGGCTGCTCACATTCCTTCCGCTTTGCAGTCATTTGATGGATCAATGACTATGCATTCTAAAGAATATGCCAAATTTCCGCTTTGATGGATCAATTAGGCCGAGTGATTCCCTGTGCCAACATATCTGAACACTGCCCGTCGATTCTTACTGGAAGGTAGGGGCTGCGATAGAGGACCATTCCTGAGGGGAATCAGATGAAATAATAAGCGACATGGTGGCAGATTGTCGGTGAAGTCCCAAAGGATTGAGCCGAGCCTGCGTAGCCAATTCACAACCATTATCAAGTCAAATTTGGCAAAATGCAACTCGTAGAAGTTTGGGTTTACTCATTCCCAAAGTTTGGGTACTTGAATTTATTTACCTTATATAATATATGAACTACTAAGATCATCTCCATTCATGCTCTCTAAATAAACGATTTTTTTATTACACATCATTGCCACACCACATTTATTTAATAAATTTTAAATAATCTCTAAGTTTAAAACTCTTCGTCAACAATAATACTCAAATAATCAGTTTTTTCGGGACATGCATTAAATAATCCGAGATTGGAATCTTGATACCGGATTTTCTTTTTCAGTAATCTCACTAAATAATCTCACTCACAATGATAATTTTTAAAATAATCTTACACATCATCCAATTGATCTTCAAATAAACTCATGGATGGGGATGCCCTAATACCTAATTACTAAGATTAGGAAAGGGATTTAATATCCATTTCCAACAAAATTAAAGTACAAAATCTTACCAAATGTTAGTGATATGATTAGTGACTGCCATATAAATAACTGAAAAAAAGATCATACAGAAAAAAGTCAACTACACAGATGAATGAAGAATTGGAAATGGAGAGAATAAAAGCAGGAAAGAAGAGTGGATAAGGTACATCCACATGTACTATGCACAATGTACATCCAATGGGCATTATTCAGATGCAAGAGCGTTCTTGAGATGCAAAGTGAGCAATCGTAAAAATTACACAAATATGCACATGGATGGTATCATGGTATGCTTTGCCAAAAATGAAGAAGGAAAGGGAAGAAAGAAAGATGAAGAGGAAAAAAGAAAAGGAAAACATTGCGGGCAGCGATAAGAGGCATAGGCATTTATCTTTAGGTTTTTCTTTTTCCGGTTTGATTTGTCTATTTAAATTAGGAATGAGTGGTTTCGATTGCCTGGTCAAAATTAATTTAGTGAATAAATCAATTCTAGGTGTAACAATGAATGCCTAATCAATGTCTGTGTGACACTATTATCTGCCCCTCGCTCTTCAAGCGAGGCGGCCAACCCTGCTCAGATGGGACGCCTAAGCATTGCTTACACAATGCTATGACTCCATGAGCATACACCCAGAACAGGAACTCTGTCCCCATCGGTGACCTGTAAGGCTGTAAGCCAGATCCTGGTTGGGGCTGAGGATCAAGAGCAAAATCCAACCACTTCTGGACTAAGTTGTGGGTACTATCCTAGTGAACCACTGCCGTAATAGGTCAGTCATTTAGTCGAGTCTCCACTGCATCGTAGTTGTGGACTCGAACCCCGTCATGGGCTCATGGCACATAGAGAAAGGTGGAATAAATAGTTTTCGTTTGTGCTTTTTACTTATTTATGATCTACCATTTAGTGGCTTATTCTGTTAGCACTGGGTGCCTACTTACTCTAACTATTTTTTTCTCCATTTGTCTTTCATTGCTTTAAATGCTGGCACTGGGAGGATTAGCTGAGGGAGATTATTTCTGTGCTGCCAAGAAAGTTAATTGTCTTTGTAACCCATCACCATCATGATCACGTTGATGGTAAGAAAGCTAGAGCTGCATGTTACTATTTTGATTTTTTTAGGATTTTATATTTTTTTAATGACTCAGAGTTCCTAGACTCTTTAAGAACTTGAATATTCTCTTGGGGCACATGCAAGCCCGTGAATGCACATGAGCCAGGCAATCGAAAGGAGATATCCACTAATAATCTCAACCATTACCTCTTTTATGAAATGATTTGTCTTAAGCCACTCTGTTAAGATCCCACCGGTCAAGTATGGGCTTGACCGGTGGCTTATAAGCAACGTGTTCCCTCCTCCTAATCGGCTGGTCTTTTAGGAGCGAGTTCTACACATGGGCTTATGGCACTACTATGGGCCTAGTATGGGCTAGGTCCGTAACAATTGGTATCAGAGCGGTCCCCATCTTCCTAGTCCCGACACTCGGAGTGGTGGCCTATGGAGTGGTGGCTTGGGCCTTGGGGGGTGCCAACCGTGACCAACATAGACGTTGGCTCTTCGAAGCGTGGGGTATTGTTAAGATCCCATACCGGTCAAGTATGGGCTTGACCGATGACTTATAAGCAATGTGTTCTCTACTCCTAATCGGCTGGTCTTTTAGGAGCGAGTTCTACACATGGGCTTATGGCACTGCTATGGGCCTAGTATGGGCTAGGTCCGTAACACACTCAAGGATCATTTGGAAGTTTAAAGAGTATATGCATGCATATATTTCTTGCCAATTTTGTTTTAATCAGCACCTTGAAAGTGTTTTTCCTCATGTTTGCGTGTTTTTTATACTTTTCCATAGTTATCAGATGTTATATTTCATCCAGTAGTCACAACTCAGAACTTTTCCTTTTTTAGATTCTTTGGATGCCCTTTTTCAACTTGCTGGAAAGTTGAAAGTAGAATATAATTTATTTGCAAGTGTTTATAAAGATGTCATTTTCTTTTATAGATGTGATGTGAGATTCATTTGCCTGCATAATTGCATAACTTGATACTCTTTTGTTTTTCTATATGCCCCATTAGGACTTTCGGTAGTCCAGGAATGCAACCCCAATGCTTCTCTTTTAGCACATGAAAATACTATGCGCAGGATAAAAAAAGGTTGGATTTCTTTAACAGAAGGCACTCGGTTTATCTTATGATGAAATGCCTTGTAGATATTTACATACTTTTATTCTTAAAAAGAGCTGTTCTTTGTTTATGATAGGATCATGGGCCGAGGAGAATAATAATAAGAATAATATTAAATAATTGTGATAGTGTATTAGAGGATCCTGGGCCAACCACTAGTTAGTTTTGGCTGGCCCATAAGACAATATTGTAAATAGGAGTTGGGAGTAGAATAAAAGGTTAGGCAGAAATTGGGTAGTTGCTTGGGGGAGGGAGACACTCTCGAATCAGTCCTGTTACCGCTGTTTCTGCCATTTCTTCTCTAAAGATTCTGTAGTTCTTCTCAGAAATCCTCTTTAATATACTGTTTCTATTACTGTTTCTGGGAGTACCTATTAAACTGTAACTAACATATTTTCTCTTTTTGACAATTATGTTAGCAAAACACAAATTCTACTGTGCAAACTTATCAAAGCATGTAATAACTGAAGCACTAGTGGTTCACTGGCATTTAAGGATGTTTTTACTTGGTCTGTAATTTGCTGGTATGGTTTGGTCTGTTTAAGTTTGGTTTGGTCTGGTAAATGTCTGGTCTCTTTGTTATTTATAACTACGGAAGTCTGGTCTGTTTAAGCCTGGTCTGGCTTGGGACGGAAAACAGCCCAAGTAAAAACATCTAAAGCTTGAATTTTTTTCTTTTGCTAGTTCTGATCTCAGATTAAGAAATCAGTTGATTACATGATTGTGTTTTTGTTTGCAATGGTCTGGGTCTGGGCCTCGTTTGCAATGGAGCCAAAGACTCACTATTTTTTGGCTTGGAAATATGATGGAATAAAGCAAAATGGCTCACTAAACTGTATGCGCTTCTTTGTTATGAAGCGATAGTCAGTCTATGCATTTTTCGACGCGATTTTCACTTTGGGTCATCCGGAAACAGTCTCTCTGTACTTTAGTACAGAGGTAAGGCTGTGTACATCCGACCCCCCCTACCCCACCGTAGGTGGGAGCCTTTGCAGCACTAAGGTAATGATGATGACATGATTGTGTTTTTGATCAGGTTATTTTGGAATTAGGAAATTCATGTAGAATTGGGGTTTGACAATCTTATATTCTTATTTGTTTGATAAGAGGAACTGAAATCTTTTTCATCAGGTCAATGATAAGTCCTACTAGACCTAAAGCGATTTGCACTTGGTGCAGGGGATTGGTCTCTTGATTTTATTCCAGTATCTGGATCTGAGGAAATTTGCATTGGTGGTCACCGATTGAGAATCATCTCAGCGCCGGTATTCTTAAATTTGATTTCTGAAATGTATCCTAAAAGTTATTGTCATAACGTTGAGAATGTTTTTAATTGGACTGGTTTGAGTCCACCAAACCAGAATGAGAAGACCATATCACATTAGACTAGTTCAAACTAGACCAAACCAAACTTATTAAACTGACCAGACTAGTTTAGACCAAACCAAGTTTAAATAGAGCAGACCATATCAGACCAGATCAGATAAGAAAATACCAGACCAATTAAAACATCCTTAATATGGTTCTATAAAGTATAAAGTAGAGTTTGACAGTTGAGTATATTTCATCCATACGTAAGAAATTACCCACCAAAGTTTTATCTTTAACTTGTCCGTTTTTTTTCTTCCTCTTGTCTCTCTTCTCTTTTTGGCATCGATATCATGGATCGATTCATGTTAGCCGACCCCAAAATCTTTTGGGACTAAGGCTTGGATGTTGTTGTTTTACATAAGAAATTACCCACAAAGTTATTCCCTTAGTATGATCTAACTTAAATGAATTTACATGTTCAATCCATCAGTTGCCTCCACAATGGACTTATTACATCTTAGTATTGATTCTTGTGATAGTAATTATTTGCATTTCCAAATGTGAACTTAGTTAAACAATTCTAAAATTCATTGCAGCTGTGTTAACTTGTGAAGTGGAGTTAAATCTGCATTCTTCATTGTAAATTGTGAGCAGTCTTATGCTGTAACCCTAAATATAGTTGTATTGGGCCATTTGGGCGTAGCTCACTGTGTACAGTTAACCCTAATTGTAACTAATATACACCTTGTATAGTTCTTTTTTTAATTTGTAAGAATAAATATATTTATACTTTGACATTGTACCAGCCAAAAGTAACAAATCCTAGTCATCGCTATCTTAGGTGTTAGTAGGTGTTGGAAAGCTATATGGGTCCCAGCTATTCCCTTTTTGGAAAGATACACGGGAGACCTCTTAGGTGCTAGTAGGTGTTGGAAAGCTGCATAGAAGCCTCCTAGTTATCCTTGATGAAAAAGATGAAAAAACAGAACTCATTGTATTGGGCTCTAAATATCATGATGGAACAGAAGAACTCCGCAGCGGATCGGTATGAGGAGGTCATAAAGACATAAACAGGAATAAATGTTCTGGAAACTCAATGTCAGCGGCATCTGACAGTGGTGCATGAGAGGGTCAGTAGCGGCACGTGGGAAGGGAGATCAACACCTCAACTGATTCCAGATTTGCCAGAAACTCAGGAATGCCAGTACAAGGAGGTCATATACAGGAATAAATGTAAAATGTCAGTGGCATCTGACAGTGGCATCTGACAGTGGTGTATGAGAGGGTCAGTAGCAGCACGTGGGATGGCAGATCAACACCAGAACTGATGGGCAGATTTGCCAGAAACTTGGGAATTGTCGTGGAAGATGATTGGTGTCGGAAAGTAAACTCAGGAATGACTTGGAAGTGGATAAGTGTTGATCTGTTGGAAGGTACATGGGAGAGCTCCTAGCTCGACTAATGTTGCTCAGATCCCGCCATCTCTGGTTTGGTATCTTCTGCCAAATATGAGGCATATAAATAATTGAAGTGTCAAATCAGACTATGTCAATAGCTGGTACGCCTTGAGCTTGTCTTTCAAACCCATCTAGCTCATGGATCATTTACTTTGGTGCCTCAGACCATATTTCTGCAAGCCTTAATGTATATCTAATATTTCCAAACCCAAAAGCTTACCTTAAATCGGTCTGGCCAATGGTCATCAAACCCTGGTTACTGGTGTGGATGCAAAATCTCTAGTTTCCAACAAAAAACAAGTTTGGGTGGAGAGCAACCCTGAGCATAAGGATCAACATAAATTGATTGAATTTTTTCTTTGGCCTAATTATCGATTGGAAGATTCAGCTTGTTATTGGTTTTATACTAATAATGGGAGTCGTTTCAGTATGTTAAGGATCCATATGTATTTACCATTGAAATTCGGGACTAGACATGCTCTCTCAAAGGCATCATTACCATGAGAATAAGTATATGTGTTCCTAATAGCCCTTTTAACCTTGTTTCTATTAAATTACACTCGTTCTTATCTGCTTCTTTTTTGTTTCTGTGATTGCGCAAGATCGTTGTACGAGGAAGATGATTGAAAGTGGGCATCAATCTCAAGGCTTGTAGCACATCCACCCTCTTGTTCTCGTTGTCTGCAATTCCCTACATAACCATTACGTCCATCCTTGGTCTGTCAACGTTTCTGCGCTTGGCCTCAGACTTTTTAAATCTTTTGTCTACAGATTGTCAGTTGAAGTGATGTTGATTGTGAGTTGGCAATTACCCTCATATGGCTTAAAACAATCTCCACATGTATGATTCAGGAGGTCCAGTGCTGTCACTAGTGGCCATATTTCAAATATATGTTGATCATTCTATATTCTATAGACATTCCATGGGAAAAAATGTATTTATCCAGTAGTATATGTTGTTGACATTGTCATTAGAACTTAGAGGTAGTGATGATCATGCAAGCACTCAACTCAAGATGTCCCTCAAGTGAATTTCAAACTGAAGACCCCAGGAAGCTGAAATACTTAATATTGAGGTTGCACAGTGTAACAACTGTGTTCTACCCCAAAGGAAGTATGCCTTGAAAAATATCTGTAGCTTAGACCAGTAGATATGCCTATGGGTCCAAATGTCAAACTCTTAACAGAAGTTCCGCAAACATATGGGGCTCAGTGTTAATATTGGATGGACATCTCAAGAATATATTTCACAAGGGCAATACTCATTAAATGTCATCTATTCAATGGATGTCTTTGTCATAGCATGTAAATAGAGTTTTTTGAATGACTATTTTGGTCCAAAAAGACTCATCGGGCTAGGCTTGGATTATTTCTTATTCTAGTGGATAAAAAGTTTTTAGTCTATTGTTAAAGAGAACAATTTTGAACTGGCTCTTAAATTATTTGTAAGTTCTGTGTTTAGTTGCATCAAGGTTCACCTGCAAGTAGAATTGTGCTAGTTTAAGATATTTCTATGAAATGTATAAAGATGCTTTAATAGCTACTTACTCCGTCCCATAAAAAACTTCCCACTTTTCTTTTATGGATGTCCCTAAAGAAAGTCCCCTTTCTTATTTGGTAAACAAATTTCTATCAATTTACTCTACTACTCTTAAATAATAATTCCTAAGTGTAAAATAGTGTGAAACAATGTCAAAACAATGTACTATACAGTAAAGTTTATCTCTCAGTAAAAGGGCGATTTCATGAAGTCCATGGAAAAAATTATTTCCTTAAAATGAGTGCTACTTAAACTGGGAAGTTTAAATAGGGACAAAGAGGAGTATGTTTTTTGTGTTTGTTTCTTGATCTTTTTTTCAAGAAGTGATCCTATGTTGAAATTATTTTCCTATCCAGGGGCATACTGATGGGCACTTGGCACTTCTTCACGTGAGTTCAAACTCTTTGATTGCGGGGGATCATTGTGTAGGGTTAGTGTTGACACTTAACTTTTATATCAATTCAGATCGTTCCTCATATAAAAATGTGATTTTTGATATGATTACATGATATATGATTATATGCACTCCCTTTAAGGTTAATCTGTGGGGTATTTGTCCCATGTGAACTGCGACTTATAATTAGCGGTCCTTTAGTTGTTCTTGCTACCACATCAACTACTTGTGTTGATTTTACATTTCAACTTTGTAAATCAGGTGTTAACCATTCAACTAACATGTCCTTGCTCTTTCGTTCCTAACGTCCTAATCCTGCTGCTTTTTTATGTATTTATTTTTATTATCAATCTCTTCTAAATTGATATTCCCGATATCCTCTTTTCAGGCAAGGAAGCTCATTTTTAGATATTAAATCAGGTGGATCTATGGCTGTAAGTGTTCATTATATACAAATTACTGAGTGTCAAACAGATACATGTGCATCTTTGTAAACCTGGATTAACTGTAGACCTGTAGTAAGTTCGTGCTGACATCCGTTTTTTTTAAATTTTCTTACTTGATGGCATATGTATCTATTTTTTAAATTTCTAGAACTTTCATGCTTTGGAGAATAAAACGCTTGATACTTTATTTTGCTGCACAGGATTACTTCCAGACAACTTATAAATTTATGGAGCTTTCACCTCATGCTTTGATTCCCATGCATGGAAGAGTTAATATGTGGCCTAAACATATGCTCTGTGGATACCTCAGGTGTGAAATTTGGAATGCTTTTGGTGTGAAATGTAGATACTAATTTCTTCTCAGATTTCAAAAAATGTTGGTGGCCTCCCAGCGATACTGCAATATATTCTTAAACACTTGCACAACACAAACATTTTAAGCTATGTGTATACTCTTGTTTATCTGGTTTAAGTATAATTTCCTGAGCAAATGCCATTTGTTTAGTTCCATAATTTGGGAAAATGAGAGCTAAGTCAATCTTCCTGATTACTGTGGTGATACGTTTCTTTTAAACTGATGGCTGATGGGTCCTGGATGCTACCTAATTATATATTTTTCTTAATAGAAACCGGAGAGAGAGGGAGTCAATGATCTTAAAATCAATGGAGAATGGAGCCAAAACATTGTTTGACATAGTTGCGTATACATATGTTCATGTTGATCCAAGTTTCTGGATTCATGCTTCATCCAATGTAAGGCTTCATGTGGATCATCTAGCCCAGCACGAGAAGTTGCCTGAGGTAGCAATAGACTTTCCTTTAGCTCCTGTTTTATTATAACCATTTGACATAGATCATGGATTGGTGGAAGTGCCATCTCTTCTTGAAATGCACAAATAGTATGATAAACTTGTTCTATTTAATTTGACAGGGATTTTAAAAAGTGGAGATAAACTCTCTTGTTTAAAGAGGAATAGTTCACTTTTTATATGAAAGTTTATCATGATACAACTTCGCAACTCCTTTAGCAATTTTAATCTGATACAACTTCGCAAATCTTACATGAAAGTTTTGCCACTGAACTGTAATGCTGTCGGGAATAGTTCACTTTTCCAACTAAATTTTCATTCGAATGGCTTAATCTAAAGTATTTTCTGTTTTGCAGCACTTCTCAATTCACAAGTTTAGGAAGACTTGTGGATTGCATTTTATAATGCAATGGTTGTGGGCATATGTATGCAATACATTCTCAATAAAGCTGCAGATGCTGAGAAACCTCTTTCTATATGGTGCTGTTGTTGTCGTTGCTGGTCTGGCTATGCTCTTCACTATAAAAGAGGCACGAGTGAAGGAATGAACTTTTTTTTTTTGTGAGTAGATTGTACAATGCTGTGTAAGGACTAGTTCCCCACGGTTATGTTTCATGTTGTATGTACAAATATAGCCCCTACATTTTGAGATGTATAAATATTATTTGAGGAAAATTACCTATAATTTAATAAAATTGCAGAATAAATTTGATAGAATAATTAGTTAGTTTTTAACTAGTAACTCATCTATAAGTTGAGAAAATATTTCACTTTGATCCAATGATTATAGATTTGTTCTTCAACTTGTTATTCTTTCCCACTTTTGGCACACTTGTGATTTTTTGCCTTGGGTCCTTTATCATTTGTCTGGTGAGAAATCAACTATACACGAAATTCATAGTCGTGTCTCGTGTGCCACGAAAGGGAAATTGAAAATTCGGAGATTCAATGTAGACAACCTCTCTGTGACGGGGACATTATACTTGTGATTTGGTCTAAGCTATTGAGTCTGATTTTGAGATTCCTACTGACCTCGACTAGACTTGCTGGATCTTAAGTTCCTTATTTGGGCTGCACTCCGTCCTAATGAGTGTGTTTAGGGAGTACTTCTAGCCTTCTAGGAGCCCTTTGAGATGTTCTGCTCCAGTCATATTCTTCTAGTCCTGCCAAGAATAATATTTTGAAAATGTTTAGTATGTACTCCGTATAGAATATTTGTACATAAACAATAACTCGGTAATTGTTTATCTCTGATTTTGTTTTCCAGCGACCATCTCCGGCAAATCTGGAAAATGGAAGATGAAGTGGTGAAGATGTAAGATTGTATGATGATAAAGATGGTGAAGATGATAAAGATTAAAGATATGAAGATGGTGATGGAAACGATGTAAGACGGTGACAATTGAAGGTGGTGAAGATGGAAGAGAGAAGAGTGAGTGTGGAGAGAGAATGGTAAGTGAAAAGGAGGTGGGGAAAGAGTGGGAGAGTGAACGGCAAGTAAAAAGAGAAGATATAGGGAACATAGAGGGAAAGAATTGGGAGAGAAAGAGGTAAAATTTAAAAGTGCAATAGAAAAAATAGAAGTATTTATGGCGTACATAAAATCATAAAATGTGCTCAAATAACATGTTGTAAGATTTTCATAATTCGAAAATTGTGTAAAGGTTTTCTATTTTTTTAAATCGGCTCAATCCGATAAAAGCTCTGGCTATGCCACAATATACATCGTAGTTTGGTAATGAAATTTAAAGCGTGAATGATGCAAAATGGTACACTTGATTCCTCAAAGTCCAATTTATGTCCTTGATAAGGTATATGACGACCCACACAACCCACACTCATCGACAAACAAGTAGTCCAAATAAAGCAACTGGGTTAGGCCCTCATTTGGGCCCATCGACCAGTCGAGGGATCATATTCATGAAGCAATCAGAAACAACAGACTCCATAGATTCAATAGGCCGTCACCTTGATCCACGTAGGCCCCTTGACCTCTAGCACCTCGTCCAGCACAAGGGTCTCAATCACGAACTAGTTTACAAGGCAAATGGGAATCAACAAGGACGTGGGTCCTTAACCCTTCGTCCTAGACCACCTCATCTCCTACTCAGCAGACTGTTAACTAGTGCCATTCATCATCTTCTGCCACACAGCAGAGCTTCCCTCATAACTAAGTCCTCATAAACTAGTGTACACATGTATTTGTATTTAATGCTGTGTGGCAGAAGATGACGAATGACACTGGTTAATACAAGTTCTATTTGAGGCCCCAGTAATAAATGTCAAACCAATATTGTCTGATGGGAGGGGGGGGGGGGGGGGGGGGGGGGCAGTACACTAGGTGATTAAAATAGGAAAAGAGTTCTACAAACACTCAACCTCGGGGGGGCAGTACATTTGAGGCTGATGTAAAGAGTTTGACAATCACTAATAGACGAGTTGTTTTTCTTTCTTTCTTGTTTTTTTGGCTCCCGCTTTATTTGTAAAAACCACTAGCAGTATTCTGGTGCGCTATCTGTCCCGATTTATGAGTAATTTACTATTCGAATGAGCTGAAAATTTGGTGTCATTAACAAAAAATATTAGTCATTTTTATCTTAATAATTTTAATAAGTAATCTTTTAAAAACTTTTAGGGGTTCTAACGGTTAAGATGGTTTTGACACTACATGAACACGGAAAAAAATGGATTCAACGGCCGAAGTTGGAATCCAATGGTTCAAATAGTTCATTTTAATTTTTCATTATTTTAAATCATATTTTGTCCGAAATCCTATATAAACACCTCATTTTTTCCTATTTTAATCACCTAGTGTACTGCCCCCCCAATGTACACCAGTTTTTCCCAGTCATCCTAGGAAAGCCTCTATTTGAGGCCTTTTTAAGAAGACAATGCAGATCCCCGAGGTTGAGTGTTTGTAGGTACAAATTAAAGAACTGTACATACTAATAACTGCCCTACAAATTTTTTTCACGCACAATAGTTTGGTGGTCTCATCCAAACGACACAACTGATCTAATGAATCAGTCAAGCAACCAATGGTGAGCATAAATATCGCACTATAGAGTTTTGTTGAGGAGAAACATATACCATATTCTGAGCATCTGACATACTTCCAAATAAGGATCAAAGGCCATGACATCTTTCACGATTCAATCGAACACATATGGTTGCATGTGAAAATGTTGCTGGTAGTGTAGCACTTGAGATTAATTTAACACGATTAATAGTACTACTCATACCAACAAGATGCATCTCCTTTTAAGGGAGTTCATCAGTTAAAAACTCCAAAGTTAAGTGTGCTTGCATGAGAGTAGTCTTGGGATGGGTGAACCCTGTGAAGTTTCTCAAGGCGCGCACGAGTGAGGACAAAGTGCTCGGAAAAGGCTAGTTGCGGTTTGTGAGGCCAATACTAGAGGTCCGGAGGATGTGTATGAATAACTACCTCGGGTCCTATGGGTCGGGGTGTTATTCATCCATGTACAGACGTTGTGTAGCTTCTCGGTCACAATCTATGTACTCATGATTGTTGGAGTTCATTGCAACAAATGAAGCCAGCATAGCCACGTGGAAGCGGTCTTCGTAGTAGCTAGGCATCATCTTCCTCCTCTTCTTCATTTTCATAGATGGATTTTTTTTGAACTAGTCATAAATGGATTATGAGAATGCACGAAATGAAGTCATGATTAGGGTTGTGAACGATTCGAATTCAAAATTGTGGATTCAAATGCGAAATAATCGAATACGAGTTCAAATTTCAAATAATCGAATACAAATTCAAATTGGTTTTGATATTCGAATAACTTTCGAATATGAATACAAATATACCTATATCCGATTCATATATTATTTGAATATATTCGAATATATTTGAATTATACACGTACAAATTAAGAGTGGTCTTCTTGTCAGGCCGGCCTGACGGGATGCTCCGTCCGGCCAAGCCCGTTTGGGCACCTTCTTGGTGGAATTTTTTGATGAATTTTTTTAAGCATGTTCCTCATCAAGTCTAGTTTGTCCATACCAAATTTCAACTCAAAATTCAATCGGGACGGCATTCAAATCTTTTTTTGAAGTTGACTGCGTCAAAATATACATATAAAACTGCAGTCAACTTCAAAAAATGATTTGAATGCCTTCCCGATCGAATTTTGAGCTGAAATTTGGTATGAACAAACTAGACTTGATGAGGAACATGCTCAAAAAATTTCATCAAAAAATTACACCGGGAAGGTTCCCAAACGGTCTCGGCCGGACGGAGCATCCCGTTAGGCCGGCCTGACGTGAAGATTTGCCACAAATTAAATATATTCCAATATAGTTATAAGAGTCCCGTTCGAGTCAGGCCGGCCTGACCGGAAGGCCCGCACCCCTTTTGGGTGCCTTCCCGGTGGAATTTTTTGATGAAATATTTTGAACATATTTCTCATCAAGTCTAGTTTATCCATACCAAATTTCAGCTCAAAATTCGATCGGGAAGGCAGTCAAATAAATTCTTGAAACATACTGGGCATTCTGCGCATATATAAAGTGCAGTATGTTTCAAGAATTTATTTGACTGCCTTCCCGGTCGAATTTTGAGTTGAAATTTGGTATGGATAAACTAGACTTGATGAGGAACATGCTCAAAACATTTCATCAAAAAATTCCACCGGGAAGGCCCTCAAACGGGGAAGGCCGCACGGGACTGTCCAGTTAGGCCGCCTGACTCGAACAGCCCTCATAGTTATAATATATAAGAATTTAAATTTAAATAATTAAAATAAGTACTCGTAATATATATTCAAACCGTACCCGCTCTCTACTTATCTGATTTAATTAAGTTAGTACATTCATTGTAGTAAACGTACGTGTAAAAATCGAAAAAATCCGTACAATACATATAATTTGAGTTGTTGCAAAATAATTGACATTTAAAACATTCGAATTCGAATGTTGGAATACAAACTGAATATATTCAACTATGTGTAACGAATCAAATACCAATAGAATTTATGATTTGAATATTAAATGAATATGAATACAAATATTCGTCAAATTATACGAATACGAATAATATTACTCAATATTCGATTCAATCCGATTCGTTGTAGGAAACTTGAAATCGAGAGAAGTAAAGATGAGATGTATGAGTCCTATGCATTATGAATGTATGCACCGAGCGGAGAAAAGCATCCAATGTACTCCCTCCGTCCCGCTAAGATTGTCCCATTTTACCTTTTCGGGAAGTCACACTAAGATTGTCCCATACCAAATTTGGTAAAGATTGTGTGGCTATAAATCATTCTTACTTTATTTTTACTTTATCAATTTAATATCAACCACACAAACTCACTTTTTTTAATAATCGTGCCAACTTTTTCCGTCCCAATCTTAGTGGGACGGAGGTAGTATAATGATTGGATACCCAAGGTGAAGAACATTCAATGTATTATGAATGGACACACCTAGTGGAGAAGAGAATTCAATATGTTATGAAAGACACACTGTTGGGATATATTATCCCGGCCTATTACTGTTCAGGAGCCCAAGACTTTACGTAGTACAGAGCCCAATCAGTAAGGCCCATTTTAGCCTATCAGGCCTGTTTCGGCCTTTGGGCCCATTTTGGCCCATTCGGCCCGTTAGGGTGGAGAGCCCCCTTTCCCCCTATTTCCTATAAATAGGAAGTTTCCCTCCATGTAAAAGGATCTCTTTCCTTCTTCCCCAACTCATTTACTTTCTCTATAATAGCTTGCAAGACTCCATTAATGGGAGCTCAAATTGTACTATGTAATGGTGAGGAGAGTCCTAATGAGAACGAGAGGGCTTGGATATTAGCCTAAAAAATCCCGTGGTTTTCTCCCTTTCGGGTTTCCACGTAAAAACTGAGTTGTTCATACACATTTATACATATATTTACTATATCGTGTTGGATTAAACTCAACACTGACGCCGTCTGTGGGAATCTGTCCAAAAAGATTCATGTGTTCTACACAAAAATGATATGGAAGTGGACTGATTTCAGCAAAAAAATGAAGAAAATGAAAACATCCTGGAAAAATGATTCTGAGAAGCTCTGGATCTAGGAAGGAAAATGTGATGCTGAAGGTTTTTGGATTTCAACGAGGGAGAAGAAAAGGTGTTACGAAGATCTGGGCTTTTAGCAAAAAGAAAGAAACAAACGGTTCTGAGGAAGGAAGGAAGTATGAGAAGCTATTGAGTCTGGGAGCTCGGGTCCGGATTTTCCGGACTAGGATGGACTCGCCGGAAACTGCCAGAGCCGCCGGAGGTCTCGAACCAGTTCAGGACACTTCGGCACAAGCAGCTGAAGACCGCCGGTCACCGCTCGTGGCTGGCTTGTCCACCTTGCCATCAACCGGAGCTTCCTGGGTTCTCGCCATTTACGGCGGTTTAGAGCTCCAGGGAACCAAGTGTGCAGACGAAGCTAAGCCTCCACGGACGCCTTCGATCTACTGTGACACCATCACCGCCGTGAGTCAGCGGCCGACGTGTACCTGGCGTCGGCGGGGTGTTCCATCTGCCTCTCCACAGACGCTCTTCACTCGGCTGAGGGCGGACCACGTAGGAGGGGACCAAGTCTGAAAAAGGAGTTAGCAGATGAGTGGAGCACATGGTTTTATCTGAGTGGGTCAACCAGCTGCTAAGTACGTACTCCGTAGTTCGGCTGAACTGCTCCAAGAGATAAGTATCAAAATACTCCCTCTTTTACGTGTTGATTAGGTTTCAATAAATGTTATTGCTATTAATTATTA